TTGCAATATGCGTTTTTGCTGCCCGTTGCAGCGCTCTAGCGCTGCACGGCAAAAACGCATAAAAATCAGGACTGCTCTGGCAATTTTTGTGCGAGTATCCCATGCTAAAAAAGTTAATTCCTATATTAAGTCGTAAATTTGTGGCCTTCGCCATTCTTCAGATTTTCAGACAGGTACCTCATCGAAGTATGGACAGTTTCAAGATACGCCTGGATAGAAACTGAGCACTGCAGATGCATGGGCAGACATACATACAAGAAGTGTTCTTTGAGTTCTGTGATAATACATACAAGCTGCATGAAACTCACATAAGTGACAAAAGTTTCGATAATTTTGCACTGATCCGACATGTGCGTGACCATGGTGGCCATATTATCGTCGCTTGGCCTCACTATTGATGGGCCAAACATCAGAGCCAAATTGCGCGCCTCCATCTGCAGTAATCAGATGTTCAAATTTCACCTAACTAACGCATCCGAAGCCTAATGACACTTCTGCGTTAAACTTATTCTTTTGATCACATATTTTTTACTACCGAACGTTTAATCTGCATTCTTCGTTTAATAATCTGTATTTTGTAAGTGCAGGCTCATTTGTAAAGGATTAGGCCGGAAGGAGGACGAAGTTCTTGTTTTCTCAAACTCCCAATTCTTCGAATCGTGACGTGTTAACCATTACACTACCGCCTTCTCTACTCTATACCTAGCAACCAATTTTGTATATGTGTCAACTACTTTCAGCAAAGCTTACCTTATTAATACAACTGTGTTCAACCACGGCAGTCAAATGTCGCATCAGATATTTCAGGGTCTCATAGTGCGCAGACGGAAGTTTACGGATCTGTAAAAAGGATATGATGGAAGAACATAAGGAGAAGAGAAACCAGCAACATTATCAAAAATCTGGTAATTTTTACATTAATTACAGTCGCTTCCAAAATTTATTCATACCAAATTTCTAGCCGAGAAATAGCCATAACTGCCAATTTTTCCTAACCAGCACCGTCTATGTGCAGTATTGCTC